TTTTTTAATAATAATTAATATAAAAACTATAATAATTACAATCTAAAAGTACAAATTAAATAATCTTATTATGAATTAATTGTAATAACCGAATTAAAATAACAAAATTTAACCATTTAAGTTATCTTAACAAATTTAAGGGCACCATAACGATAGTCCCATGTAGACAACAATAATTCATATGAAATTCAGTCGTGTTTTCCTCCTGCATGATCCAACTGCATTTTAGAAGGGAACCTCCTATTCAATGCCTACCAAAATGGCTCCTGCAACTGCAACTGCAACATGATGCATAAGCCCTGAAGTAGTTATCAATCATTTTCGATTCGTACCTTTTAGATAAAAGCAATCAACCTTTAATGTTCTGGTAGTCACGGGATTGTAAGAAAGCAGAGCACGTCGTGGACAATTCCTTGTTAGATCACCTTGGGCAAATTGGTCCCTTCGTAGGGTGATGAGAAATGATTGCTCCACAGCTCAAAGATCAAAATACTTAGAACATATTTGGTGAAGTGGGTAAGAGTTTTAATTTTTATTTTTTGTATTATTTATAAGTGATAAGTTTAAATTTTTATTGAAAAAAAAAATTAAAAATTGCTTTTTAAAAATAGAAAAAAGTGAATAAGAAGTTAATAAAAATAAAGTTTATAAAAAATACAAATTTAAAATTTTTCAAAATTTACTATTTAAGATCTTTTTAAAATTAAAAAGAAATTAAAAATATAAATTTTTAAGAGGAAAATTTAAACTTATAAAATATAAACAGTATCCAAAAATTGAAACTCTTATAAGTTTTATCAAATATGCCCTTAGTAGGTCAAAACCGATTAATTGCAGATTTTACAGACTTTTCTGGAGGAACACCAATGTCTTGCTCCTTTAGGATTTTCCTCCTTTACATGGAGGTAGCAACTGGTGAGGTGCTTCTGGTAGCCAGATAGGGTAACAGAAGTTTCTGGTTCTATGTTGACAGCCTAAATTCAGTAAATTGTTTAACAAATTATGTGGTCTATTTCAATTTAAATT